CAAGTTTCCCTTCTTTGCTTTTATATTCTTTTTTTTTTTTTCAATTTTCTATGCGAATGAGTGAGAATGAGAATTATCGTGCTTTTTATAAATTACTGGCTCTCGGGAGGGGGAGTGTATATGTATGAATGGTGCTGTGTACTGTTGAGAAATTCTTGTTGAGTGCAAATATGCTGTAAGTTGGCTGCCGTGGCCTCCCCTTCACCGCCTCAAACACCCACAATATATTTGAATAGACACGTGGAGTACAGCAACAGATTCACTAGGGAAAAATAGTTTTATGAAATTTGTTGGTTTACGCGTTGTGTTTTTACCGCCTTTGCCGGTCTTTCTGTTGTTTATGGGCTGGCAAAAGCATTAGCGCTGGCCATTAATGCGGACGCCGGGCGTGGGAGGCACATGTCGGATTTATTGCAAAATTATGGTGTGGATTTTGAAGTGTTTCGCGACGGCTGAGCTTGAATGCGCCAGCGACAAGCGAGACCAACAGCAAAAAAGGTAGTGGGCGAACGGACATTTTGTTTGTCGAGCTTTACGTAATTTCTTGCGTCGTTAAGTTCTTCAAACAGCTGTCAAGCGGATTTTGCGCTGGTACTTACTATAGGTGATGTTTTTTTTCAATTTCTAAAAAGCTGAGCAAATTTGATCGAATGCAAAAAATCGAGTTTCATAACGCGTGTAGGCATACAGAAAACGGAATATATTTTGTTTAATATAATATTAATTATCATTTGTCGGAGGGGTATATGTATATATACTTGTGTATAGATATTAAGATCGCGGTCAGAGCAAACGGATGAAGAATATGCCTGTCGAAGATGTTTTTAGGAAAGGTTGCCACCTGCTCAAAAAGTGCATTTTGTAAAAATTAATGAAACAGTAGAATCTGGATAACAAATAAAAAATATTTGAGCAATTTTTCTTTCCGAAAGTTTAAGAAAATTACTAGCATTAAATCGGTAGCGAGATCCTTAGAACTATTCATTATACTGCAGAGGAAAATTATTATTTATTGTTTATGTTATATGACACAAGTGGAAGAGTCCACCATTTTTTGTAGAGAAGGGCGAATTTGTAGCGGAATAATATTAAATGTGACGGCGTGTAAAAGCTGTATGCCTCTTACGTCAGCATTGTTGTCATCGTCGGGTTGTGAAAAATTATTATTGCAATATCATTGGAAAGGAAGAGGAAGAGAAGGTATTGATGCGAACACCGACAAATTGTTGCAAGCGCACGAATGGAAATCCTTTGCCGTTTACCGCCACTAGACATTTCCTTTATTTAGCAAAAACAACAACATAAAAAAAAATCTACAAAGCGTTGAACAGCGCCCAGCATCTGCGGACGAGTGAATTGGCCACTGATAGACACGCACCTTCGAACGCGACGATTTGTACTTTCACTTTCACAAGCGCGCACATGCAGACGCACAAACATATGCTCATATGGATCGCACATAAATAAATCTATTAGACGTAAATATGTGCAAATGAACGTTAGCGGCGCGCTTTGCAGGTGCTCGTGTGATTGTGAGCGCGTAGCGGAAGACGCATAGCCTAAGTGAGGCGCAAGTAATGGTGCAATAAAATCGAGGCGCCGCTGCACAAATGACTGCAACCATTATGAAATCCGTGCGGATTACGCATAAAAGCCAGCGATAAATGACAATAGCAGTAAAACGGTAACCGCAAAAAAGCGCGCTGATGTTGAGAGAAAGACAATTTGAAAATGCGCAAAGGCGCGTCACCGCTCACGACATTTGCGCACATGTGTGCGTGTGCGCACTACACATTTTCGTGGCATGCGTAATGGAAGCGACAAGGAAAACAAGATTTGTGCCTGTCACTGGCAACGCATGCCAGCTGCCGTCGCCCGACAGCTCCAGCGCTGTCTATTTGCTTGTATAAACAACTAAATTAACCGTTTGCAGGCAATTCATTTTCGGCATCTTTGACTCAGCGTGATTGCTTACGCGGCTGCAGTTCAATTGCATTTTGATTTGCATTTGAAGCGATAAATTGACGATGCGCATGCAATGAAACGGCAGCATAGCGGTGCATTTAATAGTGCGTGTCGTTGCCGGATTGCGTCAGGAGCATAGTTAGAAAAAGTGGCATGACTCGGGCCCGACATTTATGTACATACAGCTGCAAAGGAGCACAGCTGACACTCATGCGATGAGGTGAAACGCATGTGCAGGCATTTGATAAGCGGGCATACGCATGCGCATAATTAAGTTGGCATCAAATTCATTTTACGCGCCTTTGATTAAAATGCCCCGCTGCCAAGAGGCCTTGAGAAGCGCATGCGGTGGCTGCGTAATTGCGCGGGAAATGGTGAAGACATGGCGGCGCATTTGTTCAATTATTACGACTTGTTGCGCTGGAGTGCATTTGCGTAGGATTTTTGAGTTTCGCGCTCAGCAGGTTTGATGCTTAAATCTTTTGATATTTCTTTTTTAATGCCTTTACGATTAATTAATTTAATTATTATTGAATGATACGAAAATTTTACGAAAGGGTGTGACTCGCTGCAACCTTCACACAACTTCAAGTAATGGTTTTACTCAATTTAGGGGCCTTCTATTATTAAAAATTGTTAGAAAACTCAAGAATAAGCTTTGGAGAATTCGTCATTGAGTCTATAATTTTTCAAAACCACAAAATTCTATTAAACAGCTTTGCGCACACATAATTACACTTTTGTGGTTTTTTCTTCATGCCAACAGCACCCATTAGACGCACGTTCGGTTGATTGACTTCGTTACGCTGGCATTACATGTCACATTCGCACTTACATATGTACATCCGCACGATTATTATGTATTTGTTTTCTTGTTGTCTTTATTTTGTTTTTCTTTTAATTTGTTTACTTAATTTTTGTTTGTTGACTGCGACCATTACACACGAACATATGCATGTGTGATTGTGTGCCTCGTTAATTTCCACAAATAAGTGCTTGTCATGTGTGTGCACACACTCGATTAAGTGGCAGCAAAGGCCAAAGCAACATCGCTGCCGATGCTCTGCCGATGCTCTGCTGATGCTCTGCCGTTGCTGACGATAATTGTCGTGGCCGTCGCGCGGCTGTCGGTCGGTGGTCGAGTGCGGGTATGCATGTGAGTGTGACGGCTGGTCACCTGTGGTCGTTGCTAATGACCAAAACAGCTACTCACGAACACACGCGCACACACACATCTGTGTGCATAATTGATGCGGCAGTCAGTTGCTGGTGGCGTTTAGTGATGATGCACGGCTTAAAGATCTCTATGAAATTAAGATGAAAGTAAATTAGGTAAAAAAAACAGTAAATCAAAATAAATAATTATTAATTTGCTAATTGTTTGCACATTTTTTCGTCATGAAAGTTTATTTACTTTATTTGTAAAATTTTACAAACGTACGTGTAGCAAGCAGATGCAACGCAATTGTTACGCCTTAAGAGTGTCAAAGCGATGGGTGAGTTGGAGAGAAAAAAGTGAATTGAGATTTTGGAGTTTTGTGTAGAAAGTGCCATTTGAGTTGTGAAATACTTAATATATGGCAAAAGTTGGGCTGTTATTGCAATGATTTGTGTATGGAATTTGTTGAGAAACTGTTAATATCGGTCTAGTAAAAGTTGCCAATCCTCACCAATCGGACAACGAAACCTTCCTGGCCGTCAATCCTGACTTAGAGACCGCTTCTCCGGCTTATTGCACTTCAACTATGACAATTTTCGATCGACGTTGCTGTAATTGATCCGCTTTTCATCACCAGTCACCATCGGGTTCAGAAATGGGTCGATTTTGTTACGATTCAGCAGTGATTGGCAGATGGAAATGCTGTGACACTCGCGCATCAAGATAATGTGTCTTTCCAAGCTTTTCCAATTGGGCGAAAAGTGTTTTTTGTGACAAGTTTATCTGCTGGGCGACCGAAACAGTGCTCGCATCGAAATTCACAAAACCAAAATTGCGCATGATTGACAGGTGCAGTATCCTGCCCTTTCTATGCGATTAATGCAAAAAGTTTAAAGCTTAGTTTAGCTTAAAATAAACTCGTGAAAGACCCGGCCAAATATGAAAGATGACAGTCAAGTGAAAAATTTGCTTTGTGAGCCTTCTTAAGCCGGTTTTATTTCAGGCAAATATTGCCTTATATTTATTATTGGCTTACAATATGTACATTTTTTCACGAATGAAGCAAGGGTCCAGAGAATCGCAAAGAAAGGTATTGAAATATGTGTTTTCCTTCATGACACTCTTTGTACTCCAAGCTTTATATCCCTAGCTTGAGACCACATGGAAGCCACATTGCCAATTGCAGTACACCTAAGTCCTTAAATAATTCACTTTTTCATTTCAGTTCAAAAGCAAACAAATTCTTAACCTCAATAATTTGTACTTTAAATAAATTTCATTACAACCATTCCCAGACATACAACAAGCACACATGTGCGTTTACGTATATACGAATACTCGTACATAACAGTGAACTCCTCCCTAATGGCATTTAACTAAAATGATACAAACTCAATTAACCTTCAAGCTGAGAATGTGCGCCGCTGTTGCAGCAGCTGCGCTCGGGGATTGGTGAGCCGTCGGAGTAGTTATGCAGTCCGTCGCCATTTTTGCGGCTCATTGAAGTCACATTTTTGAACTCCAGCACTAAGTTGGTGATTCGGGTCAATGGGAATTCGCGTCGGTTTGTCTAGCTGAACGCGAACAGCATTAGGCAGATGGGGGACGATATGTGAGTGACTGCTTATGACGTCTGGCATTTCTTTGGAGTCAAGTGCAAGACTTTAGTTTTGTCTTGATTAAAACTTTTCCTCTGTAACAGCTTTAACTTCTGGACTTTTCTTGTAATTTTCTGTCTTCATATTTCCTCTCTTCTTATTTTCTCTTATTACTTATTAGCTGATATTGACAGTATTTGGGAATTTATACATATAGTGGAAGCTTACTGCATATAACAAGTTTTACTTATGAATTTCTTTATTTCCTTCTTTTCCAGACTTGCAACTCGCGGCTGAGCTTGGCAAGACACTACTCGAGCGAAATAAAGAGCTGGAGACGCTGGTCAAGGAACTGAAGGGTACCATCGATGAGCAACAACAGGAAATTGTGGTAAGTTGGCGTACAGAAACCTACTCGCAGTATTTTTAGTTTTTCACATTATTATTTCTGCAACTCAACTAAGCTTATTTGCATAAGCAGCGGCGCGCCGTATATTTGTGGCGCTATATCGATCATTCCGCTGCAGGCACGCCACGCAGGCGTCCAGCAATCAAATCGTTGACCACCAACCGGGCTCAGCATTTAAATCCTTGTTTTTCTTGCTCACCTGCTCCCCAACACGTCGCTCGAACTGTTGACCGTTAGCTGCAAATTGGCTGACAGTCGTTCAAACAGCGAGTACTTAGCACAGCACCGCATGTCATGGCATAGAGTTGTGAGCTGTGCACAAGTGCTATTTTACAGCGTGTGTGAGCCAATTACTGTACGTTTCTGCTTGTTTTGTTGTTGTTATTATTATCAGAGCATGCTAAAGACAAAAAGCATAAGTATTTACATGTTTTCATATACACCAATGTGCGAGTATCGAGGAAAAACAGCAACAAGCTGTTGCACGGCTATGCTGTTGTTGTTGATGTTGTTGGTTTCGTTGCTGGAAGTCGCAAATTCTATGCATGCCAGTTGCCAACCGCCAGCTTGCCGATCGCCGATCGCTAGTTGCAAACTACACTTGGTCAACCGCATTCCAGCGCTGGATATCGGGATTTGCAGTTTCCTTATTTTTGTTTTGTCTCTTTCATGTCTTTGTTGTCTTTATTGCAGTCAATTATGTTACATGATTTTGTAAGTATGCAAATATATCAACATGTCACATAGAGAAAAAATATTGTTTTCGATTTTAAAATTTAAAACTTATCGATAGGACCAGAGAGGGTGAAATGAAGGAAGCTTCTTCCATTTTCCCTTGATATCGTTTATGCTAAGCTCACTTTTAGTAATAAAATCAAAATAAAATAGAATAAAATAAAATCAAAATAAAATAGAATAAAATAAAATAAAATAAAATAAAATAAAATAAAATAAAATAAAATAAAATAAAATAAAATAAAATAAAATAAAATAAAATGAAATGAAATGAAATGAAATGGAATGAAATGAAATGAAATGAAATGAAATGAAATAAAAATAAAATGAAATAAAAAAATTTAAAAAGAAATAAAAATAAAATGAAATAAAAAAATTTAAAAAGAAATAAAAATAAAATGAAATAAAAAAATTGAAAAAGAAATAAAATGATTTAAAATGAAATAAAATAAAATATAAGTAAATTTTTTTGCATAGAACTCGAAACTTTGATTTACTCGTATTTAGATCAGAAGTCGTTTGAGTTGAGTGCATAACGGGATCGAGCGATTCAACGGAAATTACAGATTTAATAAATAACATTTGGGTTGTGCTGCGGCAACTCGAGCCATTTTTAGTAATAAGGTTATGTATATATATATATATGTAGCTTTATGTTTATACTCGTATATGTGTATGTATGTATATACTAAAGGTATTGGGAGATAAATGCATATGTGCGCTTTGTGATTTTGTATGTATGTAAATATGCCGCGCCGCTCTAAATACGCCGCGTGAGAGGGCTGCGCTTCATTAAGTTGCCGCGACACAAATCCAGAGGCGCCAACATCTTAAGTATTGTAAGTAACAGTTGTTGCAGCTGCTGCACTATAAGACAAATAACAGCTACAACAACAGCAAGAAATGTTGCAACTTAATCAAGCATAACTCAGTTATTTACCGGTTGGCTTTTCGGCTTTTCGCTGCCGGCATTTAGTGCTGCCACAATTGCCACGAATGCCACAAATGCTACTGCCTGGGGACGGTGCGGCCAACTGCTTGCCACATTTTTTCGATTACATGAAATTTCACCTGAAATTGAAGTACTTCGATTTGGTGTATTGATTTTTATGTTCGCAAACATGAATTTACCGTGTTGTATGCACACAAAGGTACTCGTATGTGTAGCTGTGTGAGCGTCGCGAGTGAAAAGTAAAGGCTCTTAGCTTTGGCAAATTCACAAAAGATTTCCACTGTGGTTTTTATTGTTGCACAAATTGCAATACTTCTTACTGCCGCAGTTGTTGTAGTCGCTTTCGGCATTACCGACTGCATTTAAAAAACGCTTTATTTGTTTTCTTTATTTGCCATGTTTACCTTACCCTTTACAAAAATGGAATCGAGTGCCAAAAGCAAAATTAAACGAAGCAAAAGGAGCAAAAACTGCAACTGACCCATTTAACGCACGAACGCCTGTGGATGTGGTGTGGATGACGCGCGATCTAGGCATGCCGTAGCTGTCGGCCGCAAGCCACGCCAAGAGCGTGTGTATGCGCTTTGATGTCTTGGCGCAACTTCCGCACTCGTCGGCCAACCAGTGCTGCGTCGGGATACATAAATAGCACAGACCGCATTCCTGCAATCTCTCCCCACAACACAAATATTCTAAATAGATCTGTCATTGCCACTATCTTTATCTCTTCCTACTTCTAGTACTTGAAGAAGCATGCAAATGCCCTGCGTGAGGTCAATGATACGCGTCTCAAGGTGTATGAACAACTGGACCTGGGCATACAGGATATGGAGCGGTCCAACCATCGTCTGACCGCCGAGAATAACAGCGATAAGAAGCATATTAAAACGTGCGTTAATTAAAATTATACTCATAATTATTGTCTCTTTATTTGTTTACTTTTTCTTTCTCATACTTTGTAGGCTTGTACAAACTATCGAAGCGCTTGAGGCGCGTCAGGAGGAGCTTAATAAGCAAATTGATGAGCTGCGGCAATCGCTGACGATGGAGCGGCGAAAAAATGAACGTCTCTCGAGTGCCAATGAGCGACGCAACACCGCTGCCAACGAGTCAAGCCGAAGTAGTAACGGTGTGTTAAATAGTGTCGCCGTTAAGGAGTCGTCGTCAACGAATAAAGGCAACGATAGCGGTAGTGAACGAGTGAGTTACCTTCTGTAAATAATACCATGTGACAAAAAAAGTTTACATACCTTTTTGGAAACAGGGCTATGAACCCAGTACCACAGCGCCAGAAAACTGTAGCTTCGAATTCGGTACTTCGGCGCAACCAGAAAGCAAAGCCAACTCGACCAGCATCGGCGTCAATCAAAGTAATGAAAATTCGATGGGACTGAGCGACTTAGTTTGCAACGCCGATGATAGTGAAGAGATTATAAAGCTCGTCAATGACTTGGAAATGATGAAGAAGGCGTTCTTGGCTGAGCAGCAGCGTTGCACTGAGCTAGAGGAGCAATTGGTGGCCATAAGTGAGTAGATAAGGGAGAGAGAGAGAGAGAGAGAGACTTTTTATAATCTAATTTTCGTTCCCCTCAGTACAAGAGAATCAAATGCTGCAAAGCCGTTTGGCGAGCAATAGTCCAAATGAGGAGATGCGCTCAATGCAGGAGGAACTGTCCGTTTTGGATGAAGTAAGGTTAGTGAAAATGATATTTGAAATTAAACGTTCTATACAATTTTGCGATTATTTTCTAAAAGGAACAATTGGAATTAAAAAAAAAAAATAGCATTGAAAAGCTTATTTTGTAAAATTTTGAATGGCTTTAAGAATGATTATATTGACGTTTAGAACGTATAATTTTGATTCTAGAATGTTCAACAAAAACCAGCAACACCTAAATTATTTTTTTTTTTTTTCAAAAATTCACTCAGAATTATATTGGTGTATTTAAGTGTTGATTAATTTCTCTCTTTCTCCACAGGGAAGGCAAAATGTGCAGTCGCTGTATGCGCGTGCTGGATGATCCGGACACCATTGGCGACGAGCAGTTATCTCTTGCGCCCACTGATGATTACCAGGATGAAGAGCGTAGCCTCCTCGATAATGCCAGCGAGTGCTCGCAGGCCATCTATCGTCCCGGGGTATCGATTAAGGTGAGAAATTGTTTCTATATCAAGAATCTGCTCATTGACATAATGCGTGGAATATGACGTTTGCATTGATGCATTTGATGGTGGGGCGGACAGCGCCAGCGAGGATAGTACAATAAGTTTTGTTCCTAATTGGAAACATACTTACATACATACATATGTAATACTTAAATCACACTAATTTAAAACCAGCCCAAACACCCTACAACATCCAAATTCAATGTACTCTTCCACTTGTCCCAAAAACCTCGGCCATTAGTTATTACATCAAGTCATTTATCGATCACCTATCGCTGATATTGCCAACACAAAAACGTCACTTTCATGGTTGCGCTTCCTAGAAAAGAAAAATAAATTACGCAATCATTTTCACTACGAAATTATTATTACATTAATTCGTTAAGTTACCTACTTACACATATATGTATATGTAATTATCTGCATATCTCATGAATTATCATTTAGTAGCATCCAATTATTGTTTTTATATAATATTTTCTTGCCACTTAAACCAAACGCGAAAAAACATATTTTTTAAGTTGAATTTATTTGCACACAATGACAAGCAATTTACACTTATTATTGAAAATAGTGCTCTTAACCACACTGAGATGCTATAAATGGTATTATTTTGTTTTTGTTTTTTAAAAATACTTAACTTAAAATATAATAAATATATAAATTCAATTAGTTAGTAATATTACTCATTAATTACCATCAAAACCATTTACTTTTTTATGCGAATAAATTTGAATTCGATTTAAAGAAAAATAACGGCTTCATCACTCTTTGCATTGTGTTTGTCATAATTCATGCTCATTTACTGTCTAATATTCGTAATTGTATGTTGAGAGCGGCGCATAGGCCATAATGCTATGTTCACACTGCGTTGCTTCAAGAGAATTTCTATTTCACTCAGTTTAACTGAATTCATATTTACAACACGGATTTTAGAAAACGATTGAACTTGTAAAATTCGAGCTGCAACTACAGGGTTAGCAATTTTGCGGTTCCGAAAATAAAAGCAAATTAAATGCATTAAAAATAATTTTTTTTTTAATAAAATTCATGTTCTATTATAAAGTTTAAACTTAAACATTAAATGTGAATTACTACAGCCTTAAATGGCTGCCTCGCGAATTTTTACAAGCTTTTTGGCACATATGGGGCGGCATGTCAGCTACTATTGCACTTCACGAATGTTGCTTGAGTTCTTAAGAGTTAAAGGTTTATACGCATAAAAACGGTCATTCGGTGACCAATTGACATCGCCAAGGCGATAAATTTATTAGGCTACCGTGAAATTTCTATCGCAACAGAACTATTTTCGCTCGAGTTGTGCGGTTCATGCCCACATATCGTACAAGCCGTGTTCTGCAATTACAGGCTAATAAAATCGGTCATCATACGGCCATAACGCTTCGAGTTGACAATTGCCCAAAAACAACTGTACTTTTGAAACCACCAAATGGATAACCCTATATTTCTGGAAAAAAGAAAATTGAAACTGTGCGTGGGAACGTAGCATTAAATATTTTGTTGATTGTGTGTGTTGTTTTTATATTTGCGTGTGTGTGCCTGCGTTTTGTGTTTTTTACAACATTTTGCCATTTTGTCAATAACTTTTAATATTTCTTACTCAGCTTGTTCTTACTACGTCTATTTGTCTATGTACATATGTATGTGTATTAACACCAACACTTTTGCATTAAAACAACAAAAAAAACCAACACTAATTTTTCGACTTGAATTTCTATTTCTATTTTTATCTAAATATATGTATATGATGTGTGTGTGTGTTTTTTTTTAATATTCGGCTATTTTTGGTTGTTGTTGTTTTTCTATTTTGTTCTGTTTTTTTTTTCTTTCTTTCCAATTTCCGATTCAAGGCTGACAAAATGACGCTCTGTCCGATTTGCAGCTCGAATGCCAGCACAAAGTACCTGCAAGAGCAATTGCCAGTCTCCCTAGACACAATGTTTCTGAAACATTGGCAGAAGACAATGAGAAAATTCAATGTTTTATGTTGGATTACGAAATTTCTGCAATGGCCCGCCCTGTTCATTTGCCGTCTGATAAGTTCTGTACCAGATGATGAAGACTTCGCACTGACCTTTTGATAATGCGAGACAGCAAAAAAAAAAAAACAAAAACAAAAAAATTGAAAGAAAAAATACAAAATTTCATATTTGACATACATATATGTACATACATACATATGTGTGTTCACTGAAATGAAATGCTACCAGACAAAACTACATACATATGTACATACATATCAACCTGCGATTACAAAACACACAAATTTACATAATTCCATGCTCGATTCGCGTAACTTTTGCGATGCACGAAGTTGGAAATGAACTTCCTACATACATATACTTCTCAAAAATATAAATGTAAAAGACGTATAAACACCTAAGTGAAAAACACAAATCTGTAATTAAAATTAGAGACATATTTACTGTTAGTTAGTTAGTAGTTAGTCGATTAGAAGGTGCCGCCAAGCGGTTTTTAGCTTAAGTGATTGTTGTTGTTAACATTTGCCAATACTTTTAGCACATTTTTGTGTTTACGATAATATTTTAAAATTTTACATATAAAAGCTCTAGGGAAAAATTAACTTTAGTTGATAAAAATGTATTTTACAAAGTACTTACCTGCAAAACTTGCTCACATTCCTTCTGTACAGCTGACCCTTGGTCAAAAAGGATAGGATTTCTAGTGCGTACATGACAGGCAGTGCCGAGTTTTCGTTTTGTGTTATAGTCTAGTGCACATTTTTTTTTAAATTTTATTCATAAATAATGAGAAACCGTAAGAAATTTGGGCAGGCACATTCGGGCGTTTCACGAGCACCTGTATGGTGTAGTAATTTTATAAAATCGTACGCTTTTCACTAACTCAATACAAGCGTTTTATATTTTCGCTGCCTTTTACAATGTAAGTTGTAATAGTTGATTATGGATTGCAGGTTTTCTTATGATTTTATGAAAATAAGACATTTTAAGGCAACTTGTGAATACCTTCAAATATGTTTGCCAACATACATACATACACGTCATTTAATTTTAAGCAAAGCATAACTAATTTATCTATTTATTTATTTTTGTTGTTGTTAATAAGTCAAAAATTGGCGCGAACAGAACACAAGGCCACACTCGTTCCACACCACCCAGCGCATCTGCTCTCAAAGCCAACTAACCTCTCATGACGTGTACTAAAATCTCTATAATTCACAGTTACTAACCGGTGCTTTTGCCTGCAGAGCTTACTCTAAATGAAATTTAAATAAACTCCGATTGAGAGGGTTTCGTAAATTAAGATGAGGAACATTTTCATAAAACTGATCTTTGAAATTGCACATTTATGTAAAAAATTTTCATCTAAAAAGTTTAAATTGAAGAAATCGTTAAAATTTGTTTAACCCTGCGATGCTTGCAAAATAAAGGGTTATTCTTTTTGTGGTTTCAAAAGTACAGGGCTGTTTTTTGACATTCTTCAAACTTGATTGTCAAACTAAACATGTTTTGTAGTTCCAACAATATGATTCTGCATTCCACACAACATATGGCTTCATCGCGAGAGAAATTTTTCGGCCGTGTAATCTCTCGTCTTGCCGTTTTCAATTGGCAACTGAGCCCGTGCGATTCGACATCGTTTGACTATTTTGTGGTACTACGCGAGCACTTGAAAACCAACATTCGTCAAGTCGTCGGAAATTAACTCGAATGGAACAAAGTTTGCAAATTTCAATACTTTTGTGTTTCATGCATAATGCCAAAGCTCGAGCAGCCTGCAAAGACAAGAGAGGATAATACAACACGTCACTCAGTTCAAAGCAATCACATTGATAACAAAATCACTCATCACTTGTTACGCATAAGAACGAGCTTTTTCGACCTGTGGCGTCATGTGCTGAGAGAAGCAGTTCCACTTTCAACCTTTGAGCAATCTACTAAGATCACTTCTTCAGCGCAGTCTTAACAGTGTTAACAGCTAGTGCTTCTTCCTCTGTGAAAAAGTAATCTGCTTTTAAAATATGTAGCGAATTCGCTAAGATAAAATCCCGCTACATAAAGGCTCCTAACTTAAACACCTTACCCAAACATGTTTTCAGAAACTTTCGATAGGCTTTTTAAAAGCCTTAAACACTAGAAGCATCTCAAGAAATCCACACATAACAACATTTACCAATTTAACTCTCCACCACTCCCCAAACAGTATCCGCTTTGTGTTCTTAAGCCCATTTTAAATGAGTATTAATTTTAAATTAATTTTAATAATATATACACACATATATAATATAATAATTGGTTCTCAAAAATAAAATATAAAGTGTTTGTGAATTTAAGTTTTAACAAATAATTTTTTTATTGAACGGTTTTGTGATAATTAAATATTTAACATATAAAAATAACTAAAAATATAATTTTCACTTGTTTAATTTACGGAAGGAAAAGTTTCGGCAGGACGGGGGGGAGGGGCAATTAAAAGTTTTTGTTTTCGATAATATCAGCCATTTTGTTTATTTTTTATAGCTCCTGAAATTTGTAAATTTACATTTTTTTTAAATTATATTTTGTGTCTTTTATTTGTATCACCCTGTATGAATGTTTTTAAAAATATTTTAGAAAAATTGTTGCATGCAAACGTGAATTGTTTATCTATCTCTCTTTCTCTCGCTCTCTCTCTCTCTTTCGTTGAAATTTAACTAACTTTAATAATTTGTTTTTGGTTGTGTTGTTGTTGCGCTTGTTGGGGCTGTTAAGCTGTATATCGGATTATTTTGTACTCAATTCTTTAGCAAATATAATATTTCTTTCTCTGCCCTTCCCCTTCCCCCTCACCTATATCCTCTCCTTAAATCAAGTTATACTTAAATGATTATTTTTAACTCAAACTGAATTGTATACCTTTTTTAAAAGCAAAATTTACTCGTAATGCCTTGGCCGCCTATTAACTATATCAAACCCAATTGTCCATCACCGTTTTGCAGGTCGCTCAACGCATAGCCGACTCCTTGGATTTGAATATGCCCAGCAGCAGCCCGAATCCGTACCGTGAATTGGTAGAGAAATACGAGGCTTTGCTCGAGGTACAATGCTCGGCGATCGTGCGTAAAAATACCAGCTCAGGTGGCGGAGACGGCATGTCACTTGCCGATGAGTTCCAGTCGTCTGGCGAATTTAGTCAGTCACAAAAATCGCATACACCATCTTCCGTCGCACGCGAGAACATGAATACAGTCGATGATGGTGGCGCCGTAGGTGGTGACAGCACAGCTAATGGTAGTGCACAAAATGGCGGTGATGCCAGCTTAACGCTGTCTCAAGATGCCGATAATAGTGCTGGCAAAGTAGGAAATGAAAGCGCAAAAGATTTGCGTGGTCGTACACCTACAGAATACTCAGAGACCGGGACTACATCCTCTGGATATGCGGATGAGACTAGCAATAAATGTACACAGACGGAAAATCGACCCGGCTCATTCCTTTGTACCATAGGCGACGGCGAAATGTGTAAGTTTAGCATTTACGATGACGCCAGTCCCATTGACTCGCATTTCCGCAATAGACCCGAGTACAAGGAGCTGTTCAAGGAGATTTTCGCTGTACTCAAGAAGGCGGCCACAAATAAGGAAGAGGGCGAAAAGTTGCCATTGCTCGATGATACGGAGCCCGCTGCAGCTGCCGCGTGCACAGCTATCGCCAAGGTGCCACCAGTAACGCCAGCCAATGAAGAACTGCCAATTGATTTCGGTGATGACGCTCAGAGTATTATTTCGTCAGCGGTATCCGAGCAATCGTTCGCCATGTCAGAGTGCATAACCAAGTTGGAGCGAAAGACGGCAAAGAAGCACATTATCGAGAAGAATCAAGAAAACCAGCCGCCCATGCATGTGGGCGCTTCCATCACCACAGTGGTTGTGGCAGGTCAGTCACCGATCGTTGAGAACGGTCGCGTTTTAACACCGCTCAAGCGCGAGCCACTCGAATATCTATCAGTGGGTGTGGGTATTAAGAAGAAAAATCGTCGCAAGAACCGCAATTTTGGCAATGACCGCCCTGAGTCGCCGGCTGTGCTACCCTCACCGCCACGATTCTTCATTGCAAGCGGCAAAAAACGCCGTGACGTACGTCCATACGTGCAATCGCCATTGGCAAGCACCACCTCCACCGCCGCCGAACAGCCACGCTCCTCACGAAGCACTGGCGGTGCACGTTACGAATGGAATGGCAGCTCGATGGTCATATACAATCGCAGTTTGAATTCGCCGGGCACACCCGCCACCTCCTTGCACGGACGTGAAATGGATTTCAGCAATCTCGAATATCGACCCAGCTTCCTGTCGATGGAGCTCAATCAGCTGAAAAACCTGGAGAAGTCATATGCCGAGGTGCTGCGTACAGCAGACAGTTGCAAGCACGACCACTGCCGGTCAGCGTCGCATCATCATCATCATCACCACCATCATCATCAGCAGCAGCAACTACAGCAACAGAAGCAACACAAACAACAAAAACAACAGCGAAACCGCAAAACCTAAGCGACGCTAGGCAGAAAAGAGAGCACTTGAGGTTCCATCACCCCCTCAAAAGTCTGCTCACAATTTAGTTTTCGCTAAATACACACAACAAACACACACATATATATACATACATAAATAAATAAATACATACAAACAGAAGTAAGAAGCTGAACATACATATACACGTATGTACGAGTATATGTTGAAGCGTACCAGTCCATATTAGTAATTGAATAGTTTAAAAAGTAAACAGTTTGCCCCCACCCAACCAACCAAGAGATAAGCAGAGAGAAGGAGAGAAGAATAACCAGAGTTAAGAAAGACAGCAACAAAAGTAAAACACAAAAAACTGTAACTAAAACTAACGTTAATCAATAATTAAAGAAATATTTTCAAAATTTTTGTCCTAAATATACGTATATACACATAAACATACATACATGCATACACAGATATGACTTACTATTTATACACGTATAACTAATAATTATGTAATTATGTTTCCTATTGAATGTATTCACCGTTAACACCGTAAAATGTCACAAATAGCTTAATGAAATAATTCCAAAAGCAATGTTAGCGGCATTGCCCCATCCAAGAGATCCGAGAGTATTTCAATTTTGACAAGAAGAAAAAAAACAAAGAAAGAAAGACAGAAAGAGCGAGGCACGCGTGGAGGGCAGTTAAAGCGTGCGGTGGGCGTGATTTGCTTGGCCCAACGCACAAGCCGCCATTTTATAATTTTAAATAAGTAATTAATTTAGTTTCCTCTTGTATATAGAACGCTTTTAAATTAAAATTAATTTTAAAAATATCCCTATTTTTCACCGGACCCAAATATTTGCGTTTTCCAAGACCTTCAAGTAGATTTTGCTTAGAAAGACACTAAAAGGAACCAAAATTATCCTAATAATTACAGACTAAACTATTTGCCTTTTGTAAATTTGAAGAAGTATCAAAAAATATGGATATTTTAGACACAGTTTGTATGTAATTTTAATAGACTTTGAAAAAATATTTTAATGTATTCAGTGTTTGCCAAAATATTATATATAACAACACCAAAATTTTTGCTTGCAAAACTTACATATGTAATAGCATCGTCCTGAGAATAATTTCATCAGATTTTCGAATTACTGCAGTTAAGAAAGTCTATTTAAATATTTGAGACAAATTAATTTGTTACAAAAAAAAACACTTAGTCGGGCAGGATGAGCCGAATAATTAATATATATAATTATAATACAATAGTGATAACAATAATAAGTGCTATAACAACAACAGCATTATTCAAATAAAAATATACCCGACACAACAACAAAATATAAAACAAAATCACATTTCGTTTTAATTTATTCACTCGCACAGTAGAGAGGTAAGTAATTATACACACATAAACGTATGTACATGATAACGGTATATTATTCAGACCGTTTTTTTTAACTCAAAAGCGATGCCCCTTTAATCACAGTTCATATGAAATAAGTTCTAAGCTTGTTGGGCACTTGCCATCAATTTGTAAACACAGTGGAATCGGGTTCAAGAGAACTACTCGATCGAGGCAACAACAAATGTTCTTTCATTGCCTACTCTTAAAATCATTATGTAATTTTCTCAGAATGAAGCAAGATAAGCCCGATAAAAAACACACCAGGAATGCTAAGCCACCGAGTGCATTTCTGCTACGAAATAAGCACTCTTCAGTAAAACCCATAGGCTGATCAGAGGCGGCCTGGAATAAACTGTGTAGATCCCTACATTTGTCGGAAACATCAAAAAGCATCCCAGAAATAGAAGGAGGAGCTCGGCTGAAAATCGCTTCAGCGGTGACAAAAGCGCCAATATATAAATATATAAATAAATGATAAATGATAAGTTGTTTATAGTCCACTTTGAATTTCGATTGAGGGAAAAAACGTCTTCCGTATGTGTATGTATTTAATTTTTTTATGAAAAATCAGAACAACCGCGCTATGTTCCAGAGACAATTTTAGTGTATGTATATACATATTTATATACACAATTTTTAAACTACTCATTCCACGGTTAAACTTCATAACCGTAGTGTGATTTTAGGGGTAAGTAAAAGCTTTGCCAATAGAAAAGCTTTATGCTTCTAACATACCGAGTAACCATGGTTGCCACTTTACAATTCAGTTTCCAAATTCGATAGATTTTCCACTTTCATTTCAAGGAGGCTTTCATCAACGGTTTGCGAGAAAAGAATTAACTTACTGAACTTATAGTTTGAATTAAAAACCGAGAAGATTATTTCCGAAATTGTTTAATACAAGGAAGCAGAATGGAGGATTAGGAGTTACTGAAGCCGTTACGATCCTAATGAGCCTAATCACCACCCTACAACCCTCTCATGCCTCGAACATAACAACCCCAAGAATTGTATGATTGTTTAAAAAAAATTTATTTAAAAGGACCAAAATTTATCGGGAACTTTCATTTTGGGCAAAAAAAGTCATTTCCTAACATTTGCGTAGCAAAAGAGACTTGTTTTTTTTTTTAGAAAATTTAGAAAATCCTGTGGCAGCCCTGTAACATTCGCTGCTTTTGATAAAGAGATGCCACCTAGTTTTTAAGGAGTAGAATTTACAGCCGCAATGTTTTGACGAAAAACGGATGTCAGATCAGTGGGAGAGGTTCGAACAGAACTTTACAGGGCTGCGGTCGGCGAGTATATAAGATCGCAGACAAACATCGCAGTTCAGTTCATTTGCGTAAAGAACTTGCTAGCCTAGTCGTGTACTGAGCTCGTTCATGACAAAACTGGTTGGTGACTGGAGGTTTCAGCCTATAGCTTAGCGGGACATCGTTTCCAGGGTGCTCCACGTGGACGCAAGATTAGGAATAATGCTTACCCGTCCCTGCTATATACCGAACGATTATTCCCACGCATCTATAGAAGGTTCTGTTAGACAGTTTTCATAACGAAAGTACGATACACGCGTTTTTGAAATTTTTTTTGTCTCTTCTCCCGTTCCTATTTGGCTTTTGCGGTACAATGCATAGGACTGTGTTTGTGTTTGGGACCACCTACAGCCCCACCTTGAACTCCATCCTCATTAAATATTCACTTATTAAATCTGTGAACGTTTTATCTTCTTTTTTGCTCTAGAATTTGCTCGCCATGCAGAAATTAGGGGTGATACCGTTGTAACTCTGTTAACATTTTTTTCTGTGCTGATTATACTCGTTGTTGAAATCTTACTTAACTTCCATACATTACTTTTTTCGACATCCCGCACTTCCCCATTGGACATATTGTATGAAATGTGGCATTGTTGCCGAGGCTAGGGTTTTTAAGAGTTTTGCAAAAGTACATTGATTCCCACAATGCAAACAAGGGAGTTTGCGATGCTTTTCTAACAACAAAATCTTTGTTGAGCCAGCAGCCATGACCATGGACAGTAAACAAACGCCAAGAGAGAGAAAACTGCTCTGAAGCTTTTCTTCGTTTTCGGCGAAGCTTTTGTATTGTACTTCTATGCTTGGTAGTTGCCGCATACAACTCGATTTCTGTTGGAATGCACGTGCGCGGTGGAGCTTTGGAGAGTGGAAGAGACATGGCCGCTCCCGCTAATGAGGGTGTGGAGACGAGAATGAAATCAAAGTTTCTTGGAGCCTTTGGAAAATGTTTAAGTATAAAATGCTGGAAAGACAACCGATACAACAAGAAGAAATTGAGGTCCTCTTTGGATTACTTTTTTGTTTTTAATTTGCGAGAGGATTGTTCGCAAATACCTATGAAAGAGTAGAGAGAAAATGGAAATTGAAATAAACTGAGATAGTTATTGGATAGGTCGGCAATAAAGTAACAAAAGAGGGAGAGGGACTATGGAAGAGCTCGTTTTTGTGTCCATAAATAAGCAGCAAGACTATAAATAATGAAAATAAAAACCGAACGAAAACGAAAACAAAAGCTTTGCAAATACGCTCTAATGCAATCGGGAGATAATAAGGCTATTCTTATGGAGAAAATCGAATTGTACTGTGTGTAGTTTTATTTCATTTTTGTTTGTTGTTTCTCATTTTTCGTCGGATGCATTCTCTAGGTTTCCATGGTATTCTGCAATTTCTTTTTTTTTGCTCTGTTTTACACATTCTTCTTCCTATCTTTTTATTATATTTGCTTTGATTGATGTGCTTAGAAAGGAGAGTCAACTTATTAGAAAGATATGTATGTACAATAAATATTGCCAACAACAATAAAAAGTTACTTGTGATTGGCAGAAGATTTTCAATAGAAGTACTCGCATTAGCATAGAAACTAAGTTTGCATTGCCTTGGAGAATATTGGGCAAACGTGTGATACAGCTCCTGAATTTATTAGGCAGAGAAAAAATTAAAATATATATATATATATACGTATGTATTCGACAAAATTTTTTTTCTTACTTTCACTTCGATAATCATTTATTTGGATTTGAATATCGGGTCAATGGCCACGATTGGCTTTGAGTACAAAATGTGTCCGTTTTTCGTCATTTTGGCGAATGTATCGGTCGATATGGCGGCGATCTTGCGTCGTATATTCCAAGACAACTTACATATATGTACACGATAGCTCGTCCTCGGCTATTGGATTTCAAACAACTCCACACAAAAGGTCTGATCTCGGAGGCCAGTCAATGTTTTTTGTGCGAGAAACAATGGTAGTAGCAAATCGATTGTTTCTTGAGCTTCATGGCATGTTACACGGTTGAACGGTTGACACCAGCAGCCATTCAAACATTTTCACGAGCAAGGATGTCATATCCGTTTTCCTGGCTCGATAAGCCATGAACAACTCTTGAGAACGACGATAAGACAATGTTCTCGCCTCCTCCAAAACACTGAATCGTACGACTTCATTCTTTTAATCGAAACATTTTCTTCATTATCTAGTAGCCTGAATGGCATTACTAACATTATGAGAATTCACAAATTTTGCCTATGAACATCTCATAGTATTATCACCGTGAGCATTCTTAGCTTCGATTGTTGAACGAAACAACCGTTTGGCTTTCCCAATTGAGAAGTTATTTGGAGTGTAAAGTTAAACAATTTCAGCTCGTTGTTTTTGGTATTTTTTATTTCATGGTAAATGGTCCTGCCGTAAGTTATTGGGTTGTCCGCTGTTTCCTCTTTAAATGGACCCTGTACTCTGAAATAAAAAAGTTGAAATTACCGAATACATTTTTTTTCTTAAATATCGAGTTTTAAAGAAAGACTAGACTAGATTAGACTCGGTTCCTCTTCTTTGTACAATTATTTTTCATAAACCATTTTGAACCTGGTCGGCCGATGGCAGTCACGAACTAATAACCATAATAATTGGTGCTTTGTAACCGCTGAAGAGATTTTTTCGGCCGAGCTTCTCCTCCAATTTGTGGATTCGGGTCTTGATGTTTTTCCAAGAAATGGAGGGACCTACATTTTATTTTAAGCCGCCTATGAACGGCTAGTGGGTTTTTTATGAGGAGCCCTTACTTCATGTCAGAAATACAATACAGTCGTAGGGGTTTATATTTTCTGCCGAGGGGCGACCGGAATAAGAAAATTTTCCTCAATTTTTTATTTGAATTAATTTTCCAAATATGTCTTTTGGATATTGGTCATACCAGGACTTGAATCCTTGCCTTCTG